TTTATTTCCAGACTGGCCCCTACTCGGGCCCCCGAAAATAGTGTTGATGACCGCAGGTCCGTCATCTCGACGAGGCGGCGTCCTTGAACACTTCCTCTCTTCTTTCTTTTCTACCGACTTGGACCTCGGTTTTCCAACGAATTTTTTGAAGTAGCCATCTTGAATAAGGTCTTCAATTTGGCGCTTCAATTCCCAGCAATTTGATGTATTATGGCTGTGATCGGGATGAAAACGACAATATTTATCTTTATTGCATTTTTCTGGGTCTCCTCGGAGCTTCTCAGGTCGCTTGAGGAGCTTTTCCATCCCACTTTCCTCGATGTTTGTAAGTATCTCAGAGATGGGGATGGTGGTTGGAGTATAACGCTCGTATGGTCGGCTTCGATTGTGGCCGATCTTCGACCTACGATACTCGGTTCAGCTGCCGGAAGAGGACGATCCCTTGTCCTTAGATTTAGAATCAACCTTCCTCTTCTCTTGGTTTAGCTTCTTCTGGTCGATCTGCTTCTCAGGTCGGCCAGTCTTGGTTCGAAGGAACTCTTGCCCATCAATAACCTTCTTCACCTTTTGCAGGACCTCGGCAAAAGTGGCTGGGGCTTCTTCTCCGAGCTTCACAGTGAGGGTCTCGTCGGCCAAGCCGGTGAGGAAGTAGCACATGGCCGAATCATCGGAGCAGTGCGCGACCTTCAGCTACTCCTCCTGGAACCTTGTGACATATTCTCTCAGCGTCTCACCTTCCTTCTGTCTGATGGTGGCGAGGTGAGTCGCTGTCTTTCTGTCGTAATGCCGAGAAAAGAACTGGCTAATAAATTCTTTTCTTAGCTGAGAGTAGGTCGAGATCGACCTAGCCGGCAGTCTTCGGTACCACAAGCGCGCGCTGCCGGTGAGCGCGATCTGGAAGGCGCTGCACTTGATTGCATCTGTTGCCGCTTGAAAGTCCATGAGGCCCTCGAAGACCTCCACATAGTCTTTTGGGTCCTTAGACCGATCATAAAGCTTCATGGTGGGAGTCTTGAACTTTGGAGGGATTGGAACCTCTAAAATGTCCGAGGTGAATGGCGATTCTCCCAGGTCGCCATCGTCAAACGAGCACTCTTTCTTTTCGCACTTGGCCTTGAGCGCCTCGACCTGTTCGTCGAACCTGTGTTTCATCAGGTCGAACTCTTCCCTGGTGATCACAGCTTCTGGTGTTAGAGGCTTATACTTTGATTGAGCCTTGAAGTCAGAGTTGGAGAACTCTCGGGAGTAGGACGGAGAGTCTTCCGACTCTCGCGATGCTCTCTTTTCTTATCA